GATTTTTAGTGGTCAATAATAATAATAATAATAATATAATCCATCCATCCATCTTCTACCGCTTACTCCTTCTTCAGGGTCGCGGGGGAACCTGGAACCTATCCCAGGGAGCATCTGGCACAAGGCGGGGTACACCCTGGACAGGGTGCAAGTCCTAATAATAATAATAATAATAATAATAATAATAATAATAATAATAATAATACATGTGTTTGTCAATCCTGTTGCTCGAGTGAAAGGATGAGTTGACTGAAGTAGCAGGGGTTGGCCGCTGTCATATCGCCAGATAGATATAGGCGCTGATGTGTTTGAGCGCAAAGTGGCCGCTCCAGCGTAACTGGTTTATGCGGCGCATTAACGGATCACTTTACAGTCGTTTGTGTGTAACGTGAGAGGAGAGGAGAAGAGAGGAGGCTCCTCTTGAACAGGAAGCCCAGTTTGTGCGCATCGCTCAATTGCTTTCTGCCAGTTTTTTTGAGCCAGAGCGCCGCAGTTTCAGTGAACGCGTGCCCTCGCGCTCGCCGCATCCACAACGCTTCCCCAATGAATATTTAATGATCGCTTTAGAAGTCCTAATGGCATGTCACTAATGTCCATTAATGATCTCCGAATGCAGCAGGCCCCGCCTCGATGGCTTCTCGTCTTGGTCCCTTGTGACTTCTTTTAATATGGTTAAAACTTTGAAAACATCCTGCTCGCTGTGAACCATCGCTGGACTGTTCGTGCCTTTCCACACATTGTCTTCGCTTTTTGACCGATAAACATGACTTTTCCTCTTAGAAAATCTACATCAGGTATGGGTTTACTTTACTTGTTTTACATGCTGTAAGATATTACGCCGAAGAATTAACCTTGAGAAGTAGCTGATGATGATCACGTCTCATGAACGAATGTTTATTTCAGATGAGAAAGACGACTTTCTAAATAGTTGCATGGTCACGTAGTTTATATTTTTTCTTACAGTGAGGTTATACTGACCAATATTTCCTTATTTGTAACTTTTTGTAAACATTGTGCGCACAGAGCAGAGGGGAGCGGTGAGATTCGGTAGCTGTCCAACGTGCTGAAAAAGAATTCTTCATATAGCTACTGCACCTCTGCTTGCATTCATATTATCCGAATTTAGGACACTGGGAAGTTAGTTTATCTAAATTTCATATATCTAACGATAAATATCTATATCTATGTCCATAGATCAATCATTTATCTCCTATTGAGTTCAAATTGTTTTCGAAATAGAAATATTATCCAATTTCAAACCTTTAATTCTGCTTTCATTGTGTGGTAGTAGTAGTAGGGACTGAGTTTGTGGAATCTCTGAAATTTGTGATCATGCATAGGCTTATTTATTTTCCATTTAATTTCAAGTGCGTTTTAGTGTGTCCTTGTTTGGTCATATTCTACGGATTGTCTGTTTTCCTCAGTGTTCGTTAATCCTGTCCTTATTGTATCCCTGCGCGGCATGTTTTCCTATTTGCTGCTCAAACACACCCTTCTTCAGCTCAGACACATGAAGGGCTTGTTTATCAGCTAAACATTACAATGTGCAGTGCAACAATACTAAAGGAGCATGATTGGGACAAAAATGAGATATAATTTCAACAATCATCACAAGTGAAACCCCTCAGCAAGTGATCTTAGACTTGTGATCAGATTTGTCTGTTTAAACAGACTCATCACTAATGCTGTGGGTTAAAGGCAAGTGGCCTTCAAATTAATGGATGCTTTCTTGTACAGTAGATGGCACTATAGCAGAACTTCTCAACTACTCTTCATGGACAGAGGTGAAGAATTCACTTATGCACATATTTGTGTGTTTAGGTCCGAAGTGAAGTGACCAGGGAAGGAAAGGTTGGATTCAGCATAGAACTGCAAATGATTTCAGCAGGGTTGTATCGAGACCATTTGAGATGTATGAATATTTTAAAACACCAACTACAGCATTTTCCAAGCAAAAACATAAAAAAAACACATTATATGATTAGATTGTTTTTCAGGTCATATTAGTATAATTACAGTCCCCTCCAAAAGTATTGGAACATTTTCAGAACGCCAATTCTATTGTTTTGGCATTTGGTGGCGTTTGGTTTTGAGAGCAAAGGATGAACATGAGAAAATAAATCAGACGTCAACTTTCATTTTCTGAAATTTACATGTACACATGTTGAACATCTTAAAACATGGTATCTTTGATGACAGACCACCCAATTTGTAAGTGAGCAAAAGTATAGGAACAGAGTCTTAAATTAAATGGAAGTAAATACCACTTAATATTTGGTTGCGTATCCCTTGCTTGCAAACACTGCACCAAGCCAGTGAGCCACAGACTACCAAATTGTTGCATTTTTCTTTTGCGTTGCTTTTCCAGGTGTGCACTGCAGCTCCTTTCAGTTGTTTGTTTTGGTGGATTTCTCCCGTCAGACCCTCTTCAGGGGGTGAAATACATGCTCAACTTGGTTAAGGTCTGGTGATTGACTTGGCCAGTCTAAAACCTTCCAATTGTTCCCCGTGATGAAGTTCTTTTGTTGTGTTGGCAGTGCCGTTTGGGTCATTGTCTTGCTGCATGATGGAGTTTCTCTCAATTAGATTGGATGCATCTTCTGGAAGACAGATTGTTTCCATAGACTTCTGAATTCATTCTGCTGCTACCATCATGAGTTACATCATCAAAAGATTAGTGAGCCTGTTCCAGAAGCAGGCATACAAGCCTAAGCCATGACATTACCTCCTCCAACTATTGACTGATGAGCTTATGTTTTGGATCATGACCAGATCCCTTCTTTCTCCACACTTTGGCCTTTCCATCACTTTGGTAGAGGTTCCAGATCTTTTGTGACTCTGATACTTATTGCTGATTAGTGGTTTGCATCTTGTGGAATGACTTCTATATTTCTGCACTTGAAGCCTTCTTCGAATGATTGATTGTGATACATTCACCCCTGCCCTGTGAAGGTTGTTGGTGATGTTACTAACTGTTGTTTTGGGGGTTTTCTTCACAGGTCTCATAATGACTGCTGTTGTTTTCCTTGGCCGACCTGTTCCACGTCTGGTTTTTAGTACATCAGTGGTTTCTTTCTTTTTCAGAACATTCCAAATTGTTGTATTGACTATGCCCAATGTTAGAGCAATAGCTCAATTGTATAGCTCTCCAATCATGGATCAGGGTAAAGCAGTGATTGCATAAGGGTATTACAAAGCTTCTAATTCAAGTCTTCAGTTATTAGCATCTTCTACCATAATGACATGTTATCCACTGTGCTGCTCTTTTCAATCCTGCCTGTGAGATATGCCTCTATTTGCCTCAACAGTTTTATTTTCCTTTCACCTTTTCAAAGCATCTTTGTATTTACTACTGAATGAACTACTGGAAGAAGATAATTTATATATTGATTAATGAAAGAAAATATAACACACAAGAAAAATATCCATTTTAAACTTTAATTTGAAATGTGAACTAGCTGTGAATTATAGCTGCAAAAATGATGGCATGGAACATTTCCAAACACATATACAAAATGAGATAGCAAATACTTGAATATTCTTCTATTCAATCAGCTCTGACTTGAGCTGGATAGCCTACTGATCTGCTGTATGATTTCCCTCTGAAGTCTAATGCTATAAATACTACATGAAAATACACAGAGAGAGAGAAAGAGAGAGAGAGAGAGAGAGAGAGAGAGATCAGTCATAACATTAAAACCACTGACGGGTGAAGTGAATAACATTTATTATCTCATTATAGTCGCACCTGCCAAGCAGTGGGATATATTAAGCAGCAAATGAACTGTTGGTTCTCAAAAGCAAAAGGATCTGAGCGACTTTGTCAAGGGCCAAATTGTGCTGGCTAGACAACTGGGTCAGAGCATCTTGTTGGGTGTTCCTGGTATGCAGTGGTAGTACCTACCAAAATTGGTCAAAAGAAGGACAACCGGTGAACCAGCAACAGGGTCACGGGCGCCCAAGGACGGTGTCAGAATAGCTTGCTGTGTATGGGGCCGCATAGCCACAGACCAGTCCGAGTGCCAATGGTGATCCCTGTCCACTGCCAAAAGTGCCTACAATGGGCATGTCAGCATCAGAACTGGACCATGGAGCAATGGAAGAAAGTGGCCTGGTCTGAATCACGTTTTCTATTACATGATGTGGACAGCCGGGTCTGTATGCATCACTTACCGGGGGAAGAGATGGCATGAGGGTGCACTGTGGGAAGAAGCTAAGCCGGCAGAGGCAGTGTGATTGGAAATGTTCTGCTCATTGGAGGCAGTTGTTAAAGGTTGTACTTATACTTTAGCATTAAAGCAGGATATGTTGGTTTCAATAGTTTAGGTTTTACTGTATCACATATTTCTGCCAGAAAAGAATCAGATGACGGTTTCATACTGTAACAATGTTGGCAGTATGCTGTATAGAGAACACAGCAGACCCTTGTGAGCTTTGTTATTCTGGCAAATAACTTGGCAGCTTTACAGCTCAGTCACCGCTTTATGCTTTGCTCTCTCAAAAGCACGCACACATTCAGCTCACTGCTCAGGGAGAGAGAGAAAAAGAGAGAGAGACATTTGACATGAGCAGTGCTCAGGTGTGCCACATTAGTCAGTATCCCTCTAGTTCGTCCCCAAACACCACCCTTCCAGTGAACACACATACACACACTAGACCACTCCCCCACCTTGTACATTTATCAATTCCAAAATTTTAATGGAATGATGAACTTCACATCAAAAAAATAAAAAAATATAAGTACATATATTACAACTATTATTAGTTTGAGTTTTACCTTAATTCTAGTGGTCTGGTTCATATCATTAAAATGAGCTCCAATGTCTTCTTATTTACCTGCCTACTATCACACAGTGGTGACTGGCTCATGATTCATTCACTATTTGTTTTGTCTGTGAAGCTTGGCAAGATCAGATTAACTGTCTGATTTTTCTGTTTAGAGCGTTGTGGGATTTTAGGATAGAAACACAGGAAATGGAAACAGAGTCTTGGATTGGTAGGGCAGTGGTGGCTTGGTGGTTAAGGCTCTGGCTTACTGATTGGAAGGTCTGGGTTCATGCCCCAGCACTGCCAAGCTGCCAATTTTGGGCACTTGAAGTTCTTTAACCCTCTCTGCTCCAGGGGTGCTGTATTATGGCTGGCATGCTGGGGTATGCGAAGAAAGTAATTTCACTGTGCTCTAATGTATATGTGACCAATAAAGACTCATTATTATACAGTGGGAGGAAAACAGTACTGAACATGTCAACATTTATTTCAGTAAATATATTTCCAATGAGGCTAATAACATGAAAATTTCACCAGACATCCATATTAATTCAAGAAATTCACACATATATAGAAATCCAAATATTAATGTCGATAGATGAAGTTATGTGTAATAAAGTGGAATGACACAGGAAAAAAGTATTGAACACGCTAACTGAAATGTATTTAGTACTTAGTGGAGAAGTCTTAGCTTCAAGACACTTCCTGTATGAAGAAATTAATCAGCCGCAGTATTCAGGTGTGATTTTGGCCCTTTCTTCTAAACATATTGTCTTTAAATCTTGTTCAATTGGATTCAAGTCAGGTGATTGGGCCATTCTAACACCTTGATTTTTTTCTCTGAAACCAATTGAGAGTTTCCCTTGCTGTATGTTTTTGGATCGTTGTCTTGCTGGAAAATCCACCAACATCTCATCTTCATCCTGGTGGATGGCAGCAGATTCTTCTCAAGAATCTCCCGGTAAAGGGCTCCATTCATTGTTCCTTCAATTATATGAAGTCTGCCAGTACATGCGATTCACTGTTGGTGTAGTGTTTTTAGGATGATGTGCAGTGCCATTTCTTCTCCAAACATGGACACTTTCCCAGTATTTCATTGGCTTGTCTAAATGAGTTGTAGCAAACTTTAAATGATCTTCAACGTGCCTTTTCTTTAGTAATGGAGTCTTGTGGGGTGATCATGAGCAGTGGAGTGCATTGCCTATTGTTTTCTCTGTGACGATGGAACCTGCTGCATCAAAGTGTTTCTGGAGCTCTTTCCGAGTGGTCCTTGGTTCTTGGGCTACTCTTCTGACTATTCTTCTGACTCCCTGGTCAGAAATCTTGCGAGGAGTTCCTGTGCGTGGCCGGTTGATGACGGAGTGATGTTGCTTCCACTTGCGGATAATGGCCCCAATGGCGCTTACTGGAAGATTCAGAAGTTTTTAAATATATCTGTATCCGATTCCATCAATATGTTTTGCAGCATTATGTAATATACCAGGAACCTCTGGACTCCAGTTCCCATCAGCCACTGCACTACATTTCACATGACCACCTGCACCTGATTCATGTTTTGTTAATGAGCACATTTGTGTGTATATATAGCCATTGTCTGCACTGTTTCTCTGTCTTTCGTGGTCTTAGACTTCTGTCTTTCATGTCACTGTTTTGTTTCTTGCCATAGTGTTTTGCCTAGTTGTCCTAGTGTATTTGTTTTGTTGTTTAATTGTTTAATAAACGTTAATATGTCTGTGATTGCTTCCGAACCCATCCTTGATAATAAGGTTGTGAAGCCCTTGAGAGAGCTCTTTGCTTTTACTATCATGAGATGTTTCTTGTGTCACCTTGGTAATAAAAAGCCTTTTATTTACTCATTTTTATTTACTAATTTACTAAATCAGCTGATATTAATTTGCACAGATAGGAGGTATAATTATTTTCTAACTTCTTACGGAATTCAGCTGGTTCCTTGCCTTATCTTGCCTTGGAGAACTCCTTTTTCTTAGCGTGTTCAATACTTTTTTTCTTGTGTCATTCCACTTAATTACACATAACTTCATTTATGGACTTTAATGTTGTGAATTCTTTATATTTCCGGATTTCTTGAGTTAATACTGATGTCTGGTGAAAATTTAATGTGAATAGCCTCACTGGAAATATATTTACTGGAAAGAATGTTGATGTGTTCAATAGTTATTTCCTCCACTGTATGTGTTGGACAAAATATAGTTTGCCTACATTTGATGGTATAATAACCACCACTCTCATGGGAAGGCTTTCCACTGGATTTTGGAATGTAGCTGTGGGGATTTGTGCTTAATCAGCCACAAGATCATTAGTGAGGTCAGGCACTTATGTTGGGTGAGGAGGCCTGGTGTGCAATTGGTGTTTCAATTCATCCCAAAATAAGTGGGGTTGAGGTCAGGGCTCTGTGCAGGCCACTCAAGTTCTTCCACTCCAAACATGCCAAACCATGTCTTCAAGGACCTCGCCTTTGTGTACAGAGGAATTGTCATACTGGATCATGTTTTGGGCTCCTTAGTTCCAGTGAGGGAATTTTGAATGATACAGTATACAGAAACATAAATTATCCTATACATTCTATACAATAAGTTCTACTGAAAGACAGGAACGCCCACTGCAGCAACCAAGTCCAGAAGATGGAGTCAGACCTGATCCAGGTTCTCCAATGACCAAAAGTCCAGGGGTGGAGACACCTCAGTGTGTTTCATATTGGATTGGATCAGTTTGTTTGTTATTCTAAGTGTACAGAGCTTCATGTGAAGGTTTAGGCTTATATGAGGAGTTGGATCAGGTCCAGCTCCACCTCCTGGATGTTTGGTTCTGCAATGTCTTAGAGCAAGATGAGGGACTAGAGGCATAAAAATAACGGTGGCTTAGTGGTTAGCATGTTCGCCTCACACCTCCAGGGTCCGGGGTTTGATTCCCGCCAGGGCCATGTGTGTGCGGAGTTTGCATGTTCTCCCCATGCTGCGGGGGTTTCCTCTGGTTTCCTCCCCCAGTCCAAAGACATGTCTGTAGTGTATGAATGGGTGTATGGGTGTGTATGTAATTGTGCCCTGTGATGGACTGGCACCCTGTCCAGGATGTACCCTGCCTTGTGCCCGATGCTTCCTGGGATAGGCTCCAGGATCCCTGTGACCCTGAAAAGGAGTAAGCGGTTGAAGATGGATGGATGGATGGTATGATATCAGGATAACTGGAGTAATGATGAAGGACTGAAGTGCATGCGTTAACAGAGTCTTTTAAATAAAGGCATGAAGCCGCATAAGCCTAGCACCACTCCCAGAAACAGCATTTTTGAGGAGCAACCCAATTCCTGTTCTGGCAAGTTGATCTCATGCATCTAGAAGAAAGCACTGGCCATCTGAGATCTTCTTTGGAGCTCCACTTTTGTAATTCCCTTGTGCAAACAACAACTTTTGGCAGTAGGCTTCGGGACTGTTGAACTTTGAACTTTAACTGCGTGAAAATCGAAATGGCATTTGTGGGCTATATATGGATCCGCGTCCTCATTCCTCACTCACTTGCCCGCGTCTGCGAAGTATTAGTGCATGCCTTAAGAGTCAGATATGCCTCAGTGGAGAGGCATTGCGAGAAGCGCAAATGTCAACACAGAGTCCATGACGCACAGCGCGCGCGATAGAGAGCGAGGACATATTAATACAAACACGGGGCGCTCGCGCTCTTGCGCACAAAATGCAACTCGCTAGAGTTAGGTAGTTTTAACATAACAGATTTATTCTCTGAATAAGAACTACCGATAGAGAGGAAACAAGCCTCGGCAGAAAATGCGATCTCGTTAACAGGTGTTTATTGTGGCTGCGCATTACAGCGCACTCGCTTCATTCACTTTCTCTCTCTCACTCACTCACTCACTCACTCACTCTGCCTCAGTGCTCTTGTTCCTCCCATGTGATGCCGTAAATGTCTTTGGTGGCATCATGTGAAACGCGTTTTGGGGATCTGGACAGAACAAAAGCACGGTTCCTAGGTGCTGTGCTCAGAGAGTGACATCTTTTGGAGTGGAAGGCTGCAGGGTGTTGAATGTGGACGCCGCGTTGATCCTTTCCAGAAGATTAAAATGCATCAGGAAGACGCGCGCGCGAGCGAATCCGAGCGCAGTTTCCATTCCACCTCTGAAAGGAGTGTAAACTCTAGTTAGACTTTACAGTTCTGGCGCAACTTTGAGTTCATTGTCTGATTTTCTTTCCCCTTTTCACGACGAACGATGCCGGTTGCTCTGATATTCGAAGTCGGATGTGAGCGGGTTAACTGATCCGTGTAGAAATCCGGCTGAGGAGGAGAGAGGAGGGGCGAAATCAGCCTCTCTCAGCGCGCGCTTTTGGGCGGCTCGTCGCCACACTGGCTATGGCGGCGGTGATCGCCAGCTCCCTGATTCGGCAGAAAAGGCAGGCTAGGGAGCGCGAGAAGTCCAACGCCTGCCGCTGCGCCAGCAGCCCGAACAAAGCCAAAAGTGCATGCGAGAAACCAAGTCGCCTCAGCGTCTTCTCCCGGGTCAAGCTCTTCGGTTCTAAGAAGCGCCGGAGGAGACGACCAGGTGCTCAGATGCTCATGTCATCACCATCATCCTGTTCACGACCTCCATAACCATGATGGGATTTCTTACATATATATATATATATATTTTTTTTTAATACACACCATCACATTCTTACTCATGTGTGCATGCATCAATTCATCCCAGACTAATCCCCATCAATCACAACAGCTACTCTCTTTACTAATTTCTCCCCATCTCAACTCATCATTTTACATCTCCGTCAGTTTTCTGTATGTAGCAGTGTTTCGCTTGTGCTTGTGAACTTACACAGCATAAACTTTATCAGGATTGAGCGTGAAAGCTTGCTTGTGTGCAGAACATGCAGCAATATTATGTAACGCCAAAGCAGAGCTTTCACTAATCTCAGGGTGACAAGATATGGAAATAGGAAAGTCAATATATAATTATTTGTTCTAAAGCAGGTTAGACAATGTGCACTTGCAGTTGTTGTTTGGTTGCAGGGAGAACCCAAGCAAAGGGAGTGGACACTGCTTTGTGTGTATATGTATTTGTGTGTATGTGTGTGTCAGATGAGGTTGAGACAAAAAATTACCCCCAAATGTCTGGTTTGATCAGCACTATTTAGAATTGAACAGGTTCAAAAAACATATGATTACCCTCCTGGTGCATGGTTTATTGAAGTATGTAATGAGGGTTTGTTGTTTTTTGTTTAGTTTTTTTGTCCTGTTTTTATCCTAAGCGTGTGCAGTCCATGGACACTCCCAATATAAAATACACA